CCTTTGTCCTGTTCATCATGTTTTTAGGGTTGTACTCTGAACTGTGCCAAGACTGGCCACCCGTACAAGTGTAACATGCTAATCAGGGTAGCTTATCTCCCACCAACAACCCCGAAATTTCAGTGACTAAATGAAAGTTTCGTATTTATTTCACAGTCCAAAGAAAGGTGTGTGTTCAAGGGAGTCAACTGGGAGGTCATTTGAGGATACAGGCCCTTTTAAAATTGTGGCTCTCTTCTCCTCTAGATCCCCAGAGTCCTCTCTGTTCAGCTGGTGAATGGATAAGTGGAGATCCAGTACAGGAGGGTTTCATGGGACAACCTTGAGGGGATGCACACGACTCCCACTCATGTTCCAATGGATGCAAGTTGGTTGTAAGACCACAACTGACTGCAGGGAAGGGTGCAGGGCTCCTGACTCTGCTCAAGAGTATGGTGAGAGCATAGATGGCTCTCTCTGCCACATTCAGTCAATCCCTAACCTTTGATTTTGTTCTTTGTCCTATTTATTTTAAAAAATTTATTAATCATCCATTGGATATCTTGCTCTTTTTGACTGAAAATATTTTAGCCATTTCTAGTGAATTAACACACAAATGCAACCCAGAGAGCCTTGTTCAAGGCAACGCAGCACTTTGCCCTGATTGTGTAGGTATTTAAGAAATGCTGCCGGGGAGAATGGTCAAAGCAGCTGGTTCATATCCCAGGTGTAGTCCTAATTTGACCCCAAAAAGTTATTTGGAAAGGCAACGGTAGGGTTTCTCACTGCATCACAGCAAGAGCTTGACCTGGACAGGTTTACAAGTTCCTGCCTCACCTTGAATGGCTTTGGAAGCCCTGGTGATAGGGAGGGCTTAACATTAGCTTGTGACACATTCTAGTGTTCTTGCCTAAATCTGTGACTTTCAGCCCTGAGAGCATCTCCACATAGCTTGGAGAAGACAGCAAAGGATAGTGCACTCTACCTTCCGGCTCCAAAAAGGACCTGGAAGACATTTCTGTCTGGCTTTGGGATATATCTTCCTTTCTGTGTCAGTACATGTCAGTACAGTTGAAATGTCTAATATTCATTGACTTGATTTGTGTGCCCCAACTTCATACTATTTGCTAGGAGAAAAGCAGCTTGTATGTAAGTGGAGTTGTTGGGCAGTTACTAAGTTATCTATGAACTAGGAAGCCCTAGCACTCATAACTGGGAATTAATGTGCAACTTGCAAAGGCCCAGTGCATTGCTAGGAGAAACTTTAGCTTTGAGGCCAAGGACTCTGATCATTGTGTAAAAAGGTTGATGGGTCTTTATTATCTCAACTGACCATTAGTTTACCATCTGAATACTCTCATTTGTTTAATCTTTCTCATCAACCATATGTATATTTCTTGTTTCAGCATAATATTCTCTTTACTACTTCACATCACTAAACAATTTATCATCTTCTTTGTCCTTGTTTGTTTTAATTCCTAGTTCTGTGTTGTAGAATCTCCATCCCATCTTAGCCGTTGCTTTCTGACTGCCAGACTACAAGAATGAACCCAGAAGGCTGCATTCCTCAGTCAGCTAGGTACCCTTCTGATGTGTGCTTGGCCCTGTTGTGATTCATATGCGCCTAAGTAAATTGATATTTTAAGTATGGTTGATGTGACTATGCTTTGATGGCACTAACTCCATTTTGAGCTGAGGGCCTGGCTGATAGTCACCTTGACAACTGTGTGCTGATATGCAAATAGGATAGTTGGACCTTTCTCTTCAAAGTTGACATCTGGAAGCTGAGATAAGGCACCTTCTGGGACTATAAATATCAGCGCGTTTAGACTGCTATTTGAGACACATCTTGCTGTGACTCTACCCTGTCAAGTTATTTAGTCTGAAGCAGCATCAACTGTTGCAGCCTCTAAGTAAATGGTCCTTTGCTCCACTACTGATGAGTTGCTGGCATTCTGGACCGGATCAAGTACCACCTTGGAGGGACTCTCCTTCCAGACCTTCGGGCAATTTCTTTTGCAGACACATGGTGTTTGATTTGTCACTAGCCCTTGTCTGAAGTGATTTTCTTTTTTTATTTTTACCTATATATATTCTTTTTGCTTATTTTTATCATTAAGCTATTGTGTACATTGTACACTAATTAATTCAGGAACTATCTTTGTTGTACTTGGCTTGTCATTTGTTTAGAGAAGAATGAGCCTGGTCTTCTCAGAAGAATCTAATCCTTGATGATAAATTGTCACCAGGTTTTGCAAACTGGATCACACTTGACAGTCCATATGACAGTCCTCCTCCAACTTCTGTCCATCTCCTAAAAAGGCAGATATTAGTACTATAGTCAGGCAAGTTAGACAGAAGGTAGTAGGCAGCTAGAGAGGCACTGGGACCAAGGTAGAGTCACTATGACCAGGCTTCATCAGATAAGCAGGAGCCTGAGGTCAAGAGTTAATAAGAACCAGATGCACAATTAATTAGGTCCAGAGATGTAACAAGTGAGGTAACAAGCAAGGTGATGGATGACCACTAGGACAACTTCTGCTCCTACCTATTTGGAAAATATATTTTTCCCCTCTCACTTGTTCTTTTAATGAACCACTTAGTTAGGACAGAAGCCAACAGGCACCTGTAGACATATGCTTACTATGTCCCTCAACTCCTCATAGCTTCATTTCTAGTTTAAATAAACTTGTTTTAGTCCTAAAAATTGACCTTAGTTTGACTCACAGCCCTGGTCTGAGCCCTGCTCATTTTTTGGTATAAAAACTCCTAGACAGATAATCCCCATGACTACCTACTTTTTTCCTTTCCTAACTATTGGGAGGTTTTTCTCTCTTCTTAATTAACTACCCTCTTGTCTACCTCTTTCGTCCTCAGTTTCATTCTTTGACTTAATGAAACATGGACCCAGGTTTTGTCACTACACTTGTCCTAGTTTTACTTTGTGGAGTAAGTATGTCTCTGATAATGTAATGGGTTAAGTCGTGCCTCACTCCCCCACCCAAATTCACATCATCTGAACCTCTGAATCACGATACTATTTCAAAAGAAGTTCTTTGCAACTGTTTAAGGAAAAGCAGTCTTTAAACTCAAGATGCTTCTCCCTGAGTTTTGGGAATACAGGCATTCACCCCTACGCCCAGCTTCAGAATTAAATGAGTTGTTGGGGAGTGGCCGTTTGTTTGTTTGTTTGGTCAAGGTCTAGCCATGTAGTTCAGGCTGGTTTGGAACTATGTAGCCCAGGCTTACCTCAAACTTGCAGTCACCCTCCTGCCCGAGGCTCCTGAGTGCTGGTATTACAGGTATGCACCACCATGACTGGCTGATTTTTATGAAGTGTAGCAATTTGATTTTGTAACAGATTGTTTTTGTAATTTCATTATAAAAATACTTGTATTGACTTCATATTCCATATAAACAAATACAACTCCATATTGTTATAGACTGCAAAGTATGCCACTGATTTGCTACTGATATTTAGGTTATTATCAAATTTGTATTATTACAAACTACGGTGATGAATTCCTCTTGTACATATTTTTGGTCACTATCTAATTATATGGTGCAAATTCTCCAAAATTTCTGAGCTAAAGAGTTTGTACTAGCTGGGCAAGTTGGTGTATACTTGTAACTCCAACACTGAGGGACACTGAGGCAGGAGGATTCCAAGAGTACTTTGGCAATTTAATAAGATCTTATGTGAAAATTAAAAAGGGCTTAGATGTAGCTCAATGGTAGGTGGGCCCTGGGTTCAATTCCTAGTATCCAAGACAAAACAGTACCAAACAAAACAATCACTGATAACTATTGGAGGGAATTTTGCCAATTGTGTTCTAGGAAGGACTGGGAGGACTCTGCTCAGAGCTACCTCGGAAAGGGAGGGGCCTCATTTCACCACAAATCATCGCCTCTCTGTGTCCAGGTGTGCCTGGGTCCTTTATAGTGAGGAACAGGACAGACAGGGACCAGGATGAGACAGCAGACAGCTCTGGGTGTGTTTCATCCCTCCCAGCCGTTTTCCTCTCCCTCCTTTCCCTGTGCCCTGACCAGTAGTATCTGCGGCTATTCTGTGTGTTCCTCTGGGCTTTGAAGACTGAAGGGGTAGGGAGTGTTTGCACACCCCTTAGAGACCCTAGGAAGTTTGGAGAAGCTGCCTATCTCTAAAGAAGTACCCCTGTTTGGCCCCAGTCCTGGGGATTGAGCCCAGGACCACCTGTGTGCTAGGAATGTGCTCTCCCACTGAGCTAACTCTCCAGCCCTGAAAGCTTCCAGTTTTTAAAATACCATTTTACTTTGCCAGTCATAGTGTTCACTTTAGGGCCAGCCACGGAGGTTATTTCACCTCTGAAACCCAAGGGGACTTTGCCTCAGGCAACTGTAAGGGTCCCTGCTTTCTGTATGCTAATACGGAGTTCCCCAAGTTCCGGGAGGAAGCCCTGCTAGGTACAGAGCATGTTGGGTCACAGCTTTTTCTGCAACCAAGTTCACCAAGATCTGGCAGATCAAGTATCTAATGCTTCCCTTTTCAAACTACTGTATCCAGAGTTGTGGACCTGGAAGCTTATAAAATTCATGGTTGGCCCAAATAACTGTTAGGGATGAACAAGTGTTCCTTGGTTGTTGATTTTGCGCAGTGCAGTGTTATGCAAAATGAGAACCAAGAATAAACTGATTTTTGTTTTTTGCAGTTTCTTAGTCATTTTAAAAAAGTGTATGAATTAAAACCTTGCTTTGTGAGCATCATTCATTCCAGAAACATGCTTGTAATCCAAAGTACTTGTGTGTCAAAGTGAATTTCCCCATAAGAAATAATGAAAAGTCATTTGATTCAGTCCACAATCCAAAAATATTCAACAAAATTACTACAATATAATAACAAAATACAAAATATAAGCAAATTAACTTGTATTTATCTTTGAAAAACTTTGTGGTTGGTGCGAGGGAGACGAGAGGAGAGAAGAGTTATTGTGTGGGACAAATTTCATCAAGACTTACAGAATCACTGCTATCTATTGCCTCAATGAAATCTTTTTTCATGTAACTTTAACAAGGAACCTATCCAATAACACTTTTGCCTCCTTTTGAGGATTTCATGGAAATGTGACATTGCATTGTTAAACAGATTTTTCTCAATGCTCCACACTTATTTAAGTAGAGCAAAATTTTGTAGAAAATTTTGCAGTTTCCCACATTTTATACATCTCTTTAATCTCAATTTGAAGCGAGGATTCTCTGCCTTTTTCTCCTCCTCTGCAGACGAGATCTTCTCCATAGCCTCTTGCTGCTCAGAGATGATCACCCACAGTTCTGAAATGTCAGGGTGGGGATTAGTTCAGGTGTGATTATGTGACAGTTGTCTCCATGTATTACTTATATTGTAAGACCTTGCTCGTAATATTAGAAATGTTCACTTCTCTTGCAGAACACTCACAGAACAAGTTATTTTCAATCCAATGTTTTGCTGTATTAATATTGAGTTGTAGTAAATATTCCCTGATTTTCTATGTAAAATTAATATAACCTGGCTGTCACTGACATACATTTTAGTTAGAAAGATCTTTTAAAAATGTTTTACATATTGTTGATTACCTTGTATTTTGTTTTTACATTATATATTATGTCCATCCTTTTGATTTGACTGACTGTGTCCTATTATGTCACATTTGGTTTTACTCTCTTCAAAAAAAAGTAATAAGAACAGTGGGAGTAATAAAACCCAAAATGTATAATTGTCATTGTACAAAAGAGAGGAAAAGAAAGTGCTCTAAAGGCATAACTGCATGTATATTTAAGTGTATAAGATAGGTAACCATATTACTGAGTTTTGTTGGATCATGGAACAGAACTGTTTGCAGTCTCACTGTTTGAAAGTCCACTTTATCTGCTTTAATTTTATAACTTGAACAACTATTTCTAAGATGACAATATGTAATCTATTAACTAGTGATTTCCTACTGTTTATTTTTTCTGAATTCTGTATAACTTGTACCCTTTTTTTGTTTTTTTTTTTTTTCTCCTTAAATAAAATTTAAAAAAAAAAGAAGTTTTACATATTAATATGAAGTTTTGGAAGAGTACTTTTTTTTTGTTTTTTTCTATCCCTTTCTACTCTGCCCCCTTTCTATTTCACAGTGCTTTGTGATCATATGTAGTATTATTTACATTGTGACTTGTTGTTGTTGTTGAGACAGGGTCTTGTTATATACTTCAGGCTGGCCTTGAACTCACTATGTAGTTCAGGCTGGTCTCAAACTCACAGCAATTCTGCCTCAGCCTCCTGAATGCTGGGGTTACAAGTGTGAACCACCACATCCAACCTACATTGTGACTTTTACAAGAACCAGTTAACCAAGAACATTACTTTCATAGATGTGAGTCTTCTTAGAGTTCAGAGGTAAATGTGTCTTCCTCATTCTATTGAAGTATATTTAGTCAAACCTGCAGGATTGCCAAAATGCATTAGGAAGGAACAGAATCTAGATGTATTTGTAAAAGGCGATTTGGACAGCTCTCCTTGAATGCAGAACAATTGCTTCAGCATTAGTTAAACCAAGCCCTGTTTCCATGTACTGAGATGTACAGAGCTGGCTAAGCTATTTCCTTCTCCCTTCAATTAGCTCTAAGCAATGTGCATAGGGATAGCTGAGGTACTAATGGGTAATCTTTGAAGCCAACCGACAGTTTCCTGTTTCCTCACATGGTGTCTCCCCGTAAGGCTGAGCACAGTGGGATGGCAGAGCCACATAGCTCCAGAAATATCACCAGGGTTTGAGCTTCAAGGTGAGAGGATATGACTTCCCAATGCCCAAAAGTTTACATATCAGAAACTGAAGTAACAACCTCCTAAACATTTAAATGCTAACCTGATTGAGTTATACAGATTGGTCTATCTACATTCCCTTCTGTCTGCATGTTATAGAAGTACTTTCTAGCATCCTGGCTAAGTCTACCTCACAGACTCAAGTAATTCCTGCCGTACTTACTGTCACTTATCCTTGCCACTCCCTTCTTCATGAGTTAATAAATTCTGGACGATGCCTTGGATCAAGGCCTTTGTTCCATGGATTCTCACCTATACTGGACCTGGGACCCCTTGTGTGCCCATAATTATGAATATGTCCTAGTGTCTTTATTCTCTCTATGGTTTGCATTGGAGATGATAGATTGGAATTAACTCTCTAGGATTCCAATAACATTTCAATGAGATTACAAAAGTAAACTTCCTGGACCATGAAGTAGAAGGGAAAAGGAGTTACAATGTTTGAATTACAATAATATTTCCTGTAAAAGTTTCAATATTTGTTTAAATAAAGACCTGGGAGCACCCCCAATGGAGTGCCAGGACCCGTGAGGAAATCTTTTCATAGGTGAGAGACAATTATTTGGCATAGCTAACACTAAACTTCAGCAAGATGGTTTTCAGGCCTAAAACTGGCAGATGGAGAGAGGTGATTTTTAAAAAAAGAGTAGGAATTCATTTCTCTTTTGAAAGTATACATTTGGATTGTTTACCACTATAGGAAGTTTTTAATCAGGAGGATCACTCAGCTTATTTAAACATTCTAATCATTAACAAGTTATTTTCTTGAACAGGTTTTTAAAAAGTAAGCAATTGACAATGTGAGGGCCAGCCAGGGATATAGCTCAGTGGCACAGTGCCTGCTTGGTAAGCATGAGGTCCTGAGTTCAATTCTCAGTACCAAAAAACAAAAACAAAAACCAGACAGTGTGAGATACAGCTTGTTTCTCATAGTACCGTGATTTCAACATGCTACCTCTGCAGCAAAGCAATTCATGATTTTCTTTAATTGCATATGGAAACTTGGTACTGTTGCAGTTTTAGGGTTAACACACAAACCCCAGGACATCAAATTGGGGTCCCCAGATCTCTGCTGGTATCTCAGCTGGGTCACTAGTAGCCCTTATTTTGTGAGGTAATCATGTCCAGTGTGCTTCTGAGTGTGCTCAGTTAGGCAACCTGAGTGCCAGAGAAGAATCTTAACCACTGGTGTTCCTTCAGACAAAGGTCAGATTCCTTGGAACAGAAATATGAATAAGTCAAAACATCACCTTGGATAGGAATGAAATTCTTAAAATATACTTGACAATGTATCACTTTCCCATCACTGAACCAAAATGCTCAACACTCACACCTTCAAGGATGAGAGATTTATTTTGACTCAGGTTTCAGAGGATTCAGTCCATGGTTGATTGTCTCCAAGGCAAAACTGTTATGATGGAAAGGAGCTAGGTCAGGGCCCCAGTGACTACCTCCAACCACACCCCATCTCCTAGTAGTGCATTTAACTAGGAACTCATCAATGAATGACTAGAGGCCAATGGTCCAATTATCTTCCAAATAGATGAAATTTTTGGGGGGACACTTTACATCTAAACCACAACAGACTGTTTGAGGGCTCAGTTCTCCTCATAGTGCATCATTCAGCGGGATGTTTGCTACTCAGAATTTCTAACTCTTCTGTTTCATCCAGCTCTCTCCTGAAAATGATTAAGAACCTCAAGCCATCTGTAGAGCCTGACCTTACAATATTCTTGCAACTCTGGTATGCTCCATCTGATAGTGTCATTCCTTTCAAAAGTAATTCTAGCAGATTTCCATCCCTTCTTTGGATTTGCATTTAGTCTTACTGTTCTCAAGAAATGAACAAACAACTCAGCTTCAATGAGAGCTCCAGGCCAGCTCCTCAGCTGTTCATCCCTCAGGATGGAATGGACAAGGACAGCACATCTGTTTTAATCAGGGTTTATAAGGGAAAAGATTTATAGGGAACCACTCAGACTGCTTCAAAGCTCCAGGGTGTCCAAGGACACCTGTGGACATGACCCTGCTTGTCTAGTGCAGGTGCACAGTGGGATACAGTTATGTATCATGACTTATTATAAGTAAGCACATATACACTGATGATGGCACCGTGTAAGAATGTAAATAAGTGATAACAAACAATCTGTATGAGAATTATACAATAAAGACTCAGGCAGCTCTTGTTTTGGCTCTTGTGTATGGGAGACAACTCCAGTGACTCCCTTTGAATCCAAAACAATTACTGTGACTTTGATTATTTAGAGACTCATTTTCTTATACTGATATGTAAAAGGCTGGCTAGGGTATTTCCTCTTCTTCAGTTGGCTCTAAGCATTGCAATAAGGCTAGCTGAGGTGCTAATATGCAATCTCTATAGCCAACAGTCAGTCCTGTTTCCTCGCATAGTGTTTTCCACAATACAGATATGTACAGGATTGAGCATGCAGGATGTTAGAGCAAATAGCGCCGGGAATGTCAACTGGGTAGGAGTCTTAAGATAAAAGGCTGTGGCTCTCCAGGGCACAAGAGTTTGCATATCGGAAACCAAAGCCATAACCCCCCAAAACAATTCCACTACTACCTTAATTGGATTATATAAATTGATTCTTATACATATCTTTATCTCTGCAAATTTACAGAGATGTCAATCTTGCACCTGGCCAGCCAGCTAAAGTTATGTAATTCCCGCCATCCTCACTGTCATTCATCCCTGAGCCACCCCCCTTCTTCACAAGATAATAAATGCTGGGAGAAGCCTCAGATCAAGACCTTTGTCCACATGTCCTCATGAGGATCGGACTTAGGACCCCTTGGCTGCCCTTAACTTGGAACGTCTTGGTGTCTTTACTCTCGCCGTGGGTTGCATTGGTTGAGGTAGATTGGAATTAACTTGCTGGGATTCCACTAACATCTCAATAGGATTACAAATATAACTCTTTGGATTGTGAGAAAAATTAGGAAGAGGATTACAAATATTTGAATGTCTGAACTTGATATTTGGGTTTATAATACTTGTGTTCTTATGTTCTTGGGCTCTGCTCTGTTCTATGCTGCCTGCTATTGTCACTGATGTCTTGCATAGGTATGTTCTTTAACCTTGAGACCTTACCTGCGAAAATCTCCCTTGGGCCCCTTGAATGGATCAATAAGATTTAATACAAGACACATAATTTATAGGATAGTTTTACAATATTCACCCAAAAACTCAAATGCAGAAGAGTGCAAGTGATCTGTCCATGCACTAGACTCAAAGAATCCAGCTGAGGGCCTAGATCCCATGGCAATGTCCTATACTAGTCCAGCTGGAGGCCTAGAGCCCACAACAATGTCTCATGGAAGTCTGTACTAATGTCTCATACAAGTCTGCACTGGGAAGGTCCAAAGATCAGTGGTGGAAGCTAGAAAGTCTGCACCAGCAAGATGAAGGATCTGTGCCACCAGGCTGAGGGATCTGCACTGGAACCAGGAAGTGACAGTCAAGATAAGGACCTAATTCTCTCAAAAAGAACCACAGCGACCCTCAGTGACAGAGAAGACCTGAACTCTTCTGATGATGAGAACCTCTGAATTTGTATTAGGAAAACCAGCGTGATGAGCTTGTTCAGAAGAATCAACAGCACACCATCTTCCTCTCCAGTTGTCTTTTTATGCTGCTAGCAGCAATCCCCAGGGGGGCCCTCCACACTCAGCACCACACTGATTCAGTTTAGCTGAGTGTTACAAGTCACCCCTTAGTTAATCCGCCAAAATATCTTCTCTCATTACAAGGCATCCAGCTGCTCTGTGCATAGCTTTGCACAATTTAACTAGATTCACCTAATCTTGGAGGACCTTGGCTAATATATAAACACATCATTTCAGTTCCTGAAACTATATGGGTGTGTTTATCTAATCAATTTTTTTCTTATAGGTAAATTAATTCAGTAACTATTTGATACTATATGTCACCCATTGTTTGAGAATATTGTATGAATGAAACAAAGCTCCAGATCTATGGACTTTGCAACCTTTTGGGAGAGACAGACTATAGACAAATGATTTTTCAGGGAATAATAAGTGCTCAAACAAAAAAACTAAGCAAGAGGAAAACGATGCCTTCTTGAGGGATGGTATGTGTATGGGTGCACACAATGGCCAGGCAGACACAGCTGGGTGTTCAGAAGTCTCAAGGGATCAGTAGTCTCCATAGTGGATGACTACCTGGCCCACTCATATGCACCCAGAGGCCCTGTGTGGTCACTGTCCCTCTTCCAGGAGGAAACTGCCCCTCTGTTCCAGCCCCGCTCCTGCCCCTAGACCCCCATAATGATCTAGTCCCTATAATGGTCTAATTGATGTCAGTATGTAATTGGCAAATGCCAGGCCCAAAGATTGCTTTTGACCCCTCCTTGGCCAACCCACTCCTATTTTTTTACTTTAGAAGAATCTGGTAATTTTCCCTTTGGGCTCCAGACATATACTTCTGGTTTTTGCTTATAAATTTTTGCCTTGTTTTTCTTTTTGAGGCAAGGTCTCACTGAGTAATCCAAGCCAACCTTGAACTCAGTGTTGTAGCCCAGGCTGGCCCCAAATTTACCATCCTCCTGCCTCCCAAGTGCTACAATTACAGGTAAGCATCGTGATGTGGAGCCTTGCTAATGGTTCTTTGAAGACTGTCAAAGCAATCACCTTGCCCTGCATCTCTGCCAACACCTAATGCCATCTGCATGGAAGAGTCTGATTTTCTCCTACCAGTTATTGCTCACCTTTGCCACATCTCCTGGCTCTCTCCATAGTCCTATGCTCTGTCCAGAAGAATCCTGGGTGGTGAGTGAAAGGGTTTTGGCCCAGATGGGACACTGTAGCCAGAAAAAACCTCAACCAGAATCAGGGAGCTCCTGTCTCCCCCGCCCTTAGAGATTTACCTGTAACTCTATATCCCCCCACCCTTTGGAATCTGCCCCTGGTGCCAATCGTGTGCCAATGAAATACCTGTGCATCTCTACTGGCCTTAGGGCACTGTCCTAAGCTTAGGCTACTTATATCCCCCCACGCCACGTGTCCGAGAGAGAGATCGCCGGACTTCAGTGGCCGGGGTGCCAGTCATCTCTCTCCGTATTCTCAGAATAAAGGACTCTTTTTGTTTTATACTTCTCATCTTTTGGAAATACTTTTCATCTTTTGGAAGTAATCCTATCAGTGAACATCTGACCCTCTCCACCTCTCACCTTGGATTACATTTTTCTGTCATCTCCCCTGCTACTGGTGTGGCCAGTTTCATGTGGGTCCCAGCCCTGGTGCAGACATTCTGCTGTGACCTCACAGAAGGGCCTGGAGTGTTACAGGCAGGCCTGCCTGGTAGGTGTGCAGTCAGTCGTGCTTGTTTCTAGTACACTGCTTTGGCATTCTCTGATCAGTAGCCACAGCTCTGTGTGAGAGCCTCTGCCACTTCATAATCACCACTTACCCTAAAAAATAGGTGCCGCTTGGAGCTGCCCACTAGGAAGACATGAGATGCTGAAGACCTCACTGTTGTTGCTAAGCTTCTCCCTTAGGAATCTGAGTCAAGTTGTCACTGCCTCCAAGGAGATGTGTGCTGCTTCCTTGTGCTCAGCGCTGTGTGAGGAAAAAGGCAGTAGGGTGTTACCAAGGTCACACATGGGACCTGCCTCCCTGTAAGCATAGTTAACAGTCATACTCCCAGGGCCAAGTCTAGGTACTGCCTCAAGGAGTATGCTCGATGATGGAAAAGCGGTTCTTGCACAGAAAGAAGAAGAATAACTTCAAACAGGACATCGGTATTGAATGAAGCAACCAGGTCAGGGCATGCAGGGCAGCCGGCCGCACCTGTGTTGGAAAAAAACAAAAAGCAGTTGCTGATGAAATGAGAAAGCACTCCGGATCCAGCTTGATCATATACTGAAATATTGAACTCTGATTAGAAAGCAAAGACCTCATTCTTACATCTGATCTGACTCAGCATGTAAAGAGTTGAAGAACTGAACCAAGGTTTAACAGGATGCTAGTGCCAGCAACAAAAGCAGAAAATTTCACAGTGATACCCCACAAAAGGTACCATGGAAGCAGAAAGAGAGTCTGCAGGCACTGCCATCAGTATGAAGAACTTTTGGAAGATTACAAAAGGCTTGAGCAAATGTCTGGCTTCCCCAGGGCAGCCTGCAAAGTAAATAAGCAGAGTGCCAAACATTTAAAAATTGCCAATTGTAGATTTCATTTTATTTTTTATTTATATGAGTACCTACTTGAGTACATGATTACATTCATCCTGGGGAACTGGTATATGTATGTAACACATCTCAATTCCTTTTCTTCCTTCTTATCCAATTCCCTTTCTTAAAAAAAAGATATTGCTAGCATCAGATTCAGTTATTTATTTTATAACTCCTTGTCAAGTTAATTATCATAAACACAGATTATGTTCAGAAAGTCTTTGCCTGTTCCTACGCCTTCAAGACGTTTATTTATTTTGTCCTGGGGCCTATTGTTTCTGTTTCAAAACTTAGATCCATTTTGATTTTAGTGGGAGGTATGAGTCTAGTTTCAATCTTCAGTATGTGGATAGCCAGTATTCCCAGAAAGCAAGAGGCTATTTTTCCCCCAGTGAAAGTACCTGGCCCCTTGTCAGAGATAAGCTGTTTCAGCCTGGAGTAGTTTCTGCACCCTCCGCTCTGTTGCGCTGTTCCCACCCCCACCCCACCCACTGCAGCGTTGTAGAAGTCCTGGACTGTGGTACCCCCTGCCTTGCTCTTGTTGCCCAAAATTGTTTTTGCTACAGTAGGAGACTTCTGCTTCTATATGAATTAAGTTTGCTGTTTCTCATTCTATAAAGAATGCTATTTGTGTTTTGATTGGGATTGCATTAAATTCGAGTAACAGTTTTGGAAGTATGGTTGATTTGACAATATTGGTTCTGCCTGTCCAGAAACAGGGCATTTCTTTCCATTTTGTGATGTCTTCTTCAATCTTTTTTTCAGAGTACTGTAGTTTTCACTGTAGATGGTATTGTGAAAGGTAGGTATTGTTTCCCTGATTTCTCTCTCAGTGAGCTTCATATTAGAGTATAGGGATGCTGGTAATTTTCAAATGTTGAGTTTGTATCCTTCTACATTACCGAATTTGGCTATTCATTTTAGAATCTTTTGATATAGTTTTTGAGGGCTTCTATAGAGACTATCACGTCATCTGCAAAGAATGATAGTTTGACTTCTTCCTTTCCTATCCATATCCTTTGTTTTTTTTCTTTTTCCTGATTGCTATAGCCAATATTTTGAGAAGTATATTGACAGGTGTGGTGATAGTGGATTTTGGAGAGAAAGCACTCAGTTTTCCTCCATTTAGTTTGAGGTTGGCCTTTGGTTTGTCATGGATGACTTCTATGAGATTAAAAGACCTTCTATAGTAATTTTCTTCAGTTTTTTTTTTTTTTTTTTTATCATGAGCATGTGTTGGACTTTGTCAAATGTTTTTTGTGCCCATTGAGATGATCATATGGTTTTTACTATAATTTTTTTGTGGTTTAGTGAGATAAGGTCTCACTATGTAGTTTGAGCTGGACTCAAGCTTGCTTTGTAACCCAGGTTGGCCTCGAACTAGCAGCAATCCTCTTGCCTCAGTCTCTCAAGTGCTGGAATTACAGGTGTGAGCCACCACACCTGGCTATAATTTTTTTCTTTTGATACCAGGAATCACATCATATGTTTTTTGTCCTGGGTTCTGTTAATGTGGTATATTACATTTATTTATTTGTGTATGTTGAAGCATCTCTGCATCCCTGGGATGAATCCTGCTTGGTCAGAATGTATGATTTTTGTGATGATTTACTGCATTTTATTTGCCAGTATCTTATTGAGAATAAAAATTTGGCTTTATGTTCATTAAAGAGACTGGCCTGTAGTTCTCTTTTCTGGTTGGATATTTCTGATTTTGGTATCAGGACAATGCTTGCTTCCAGCAAAGTCTCTGGGAGTACTGCTTCCCTTTCAATTTCTCAAAAGAGTTTGAGGTGCATTGGCATTAGATCTGTTAGTCACTTTTCTCTCATTGCTGGGACAAAATACTCAGTGCTCAAAATTAAAGAAGAAAATGTTTATTTAGCTTACAGTCTGTTGCAATTTCAGTTCTTAATCAGCTCCCTGCAAAGCAGGGTGGCATGGTGAGGGGCAACAGTTCAAGGCAGCAGAAGACAACAAAAGCAACAAGAGAAAAGAAGGGGAGGAGCAAGCCTCATTTCCTCCCTTCTGTGTATGCAGACTACTCACCCTGGGGGTGTAGCACTCAGGTCATTTCCACGCCCTCCTCTTGCACAGGCTGAGGATGTTTACAAAGTGAGGACCCTGGCCCCTTGCTGAGTTAATTAATTAAAGTGCTAAACTTCTCAGGGTGACACAGTGAATCAACTATTACAGTATCCTAGAATGTAAACAACTGCCCCAGGACGTGTCCTCCAAACCGGAAGATGTAGAACTGCTGGGTCACTTAGTTAAGCTTCTAAACTTATCAAGTAGACACTATGAATCAACCATCACAATCCTCTCTAAAATTTTTGTATAATTTAGCATTGAATCCACTGGGACCTGAGCTTTTCTTGGCAGTTTTTTTTTTCATTCTTCAATTTCATTCAGTACTATTGAATTATTCAGATTTTTTTTTTTTGTCTTTTTCGGTTTTTATTGGTACCAGGGATCGAACTCATGACCATCTGCTTGCAAGGCAGGCGCTTATGCCACTGAGCTAAATCCCCAGCCCCGAATTATTCAGATTTTTAAAATATCTTCTTGGTTCAACTTTGGTAGTTCATACTTTTCTAGGAATTTATTTTTTTATTTTCTTTTTGAGACAAGGTCTTACTATGCAGTTCAGGCTGGCTTTAAACTCACTTTGTAGCCCAGGCTGGCCTCAAACTTGCAGCAATCCTTCCTGCCTCAGCCTCCCAAATGTTGGGATTACAGGCATGTGCCACCATATCTGGCTTTATCTTTTTTTTTTTTTTTTTTTTTTTGTCATTTGGAGACAGGGCCTCATAGAGTTCAAGCAGGCCCTAAACTCGCTTTGTAGCCCAGGTGTGGCCTCCAGTTCACAGTGCTCATCCTGCCTCAGCCTGCTGAGTGCCGGGACCCTTTTTCATTTCTAATTACATGGATTTGGATCTTTTCCCCCTTACTTTGTTGAGATTGACTAAGGGTTTTTCTATTTTGTTTATTCTTTCAAATAACCTGCTGTACAATTCATTGATTGTTTATTTTGTTTGTTAAGTTTCAATTTCATTAATTTCTCATCTGATCATTGCAATTTCTTTCTTTGTACTGGCTTTGGGTTTGGATTGTTCTTGCTTTTCCAGGACCTTGAGGTGCATCATTAAATTATTTATTTGAGCTTGCTCTGTGTCTTAGTTACCTTTCTTATGGTTGAGACAAAAACCTGACACTCAAAGTTAAAGGAGGAAAGACTTATTGAGGCTCACAATTTGTAGAGGTTTCAGTTCATAGTTTGCTTCAAAGCAGGATGGCATGGCAGAGGAAAGGCAGTTTATAGCTTGCAAAAGGCAGAAGGCAACAAAACGAAGCAGCAAATGACAACAGCAGTCCTCTTTCTGTCCCTTATTCTACTAGAATACATTCCCAGAGAACTCACTTGTTCGGCTACTTATATTCCAGCCTCTGCTCCCAAGCTAACCAAGGTGGTCAGATCTGGGGACTAAGGCAAAGGACTATATAGTTAACTCTGCTCAGAGTACATCACTGGAAAGCAACTAATTGGGTGAATATACTAGGAAAACTATTGGTGTTCCTGGCAAATTATGCAGATTATACAATCCTTTTTATTAGGCAAAGGTTAGTTAAGGAGTGCTTTGGGAGGTTCAGAATGTGTTATGAGTATTTCCCTTATTTCTTTAGGAACAATAGTTTTGACTTACAATCAACTTGAGCTACAACCAACTCTTGTGAATGAATTGAGTTCATAAGGCCACTGTATTGCTAATGTCACAAGGTAATCTAAACATTGTCATACAGAGCAAGGACAACAATTTTGTGATCCTGGTAATCCCAAGCACATCAGCTACTGGAGTATCACCCAAGATAAAATGGATATTAACATACCATAAGTAAAGAACTGTCTTTTACTCTAGAGAAGAAATATATGAAGACAATTCAGGTATTGACTTGTGGCTAATATATACTAAATGTGATATCAATATCTCCACTACCGATAGAAATGAATTCAACAGTAGTTTTATAGAAAATTAACTATCAAAAGATTAATAAGACTTTTTAAGATTTGGGAATAGGAGAAAGCAAGATGAAAAATTTGAAATATTAAACCGTGATACAAGAAAGAGGAAAGAGAAGTGAGGATCCTGTGGTTAATTCCTGCCCAGTCACTGTGGGAATGTAACACGGGGAACCCTTGAAGTACAGCTATCTTGTCCTGTGTCTACTCTGAGTCCCAAATTCAAACAATCAACCAACCCTTCCTTGGCATGGCACCCAATAGAGCACTCTTTCACAGATTTGGCACACACTTGGACTGCAGTCACACATGAGATGTTGCCAGTTGAACAACTCACATGGAAGCAGTGTCCTGTGCCCTCCCCACCGCTCACAGCACTGCTGGTCCATTCCGCTGCTACATTTCTCCCTGAGGCCTTCCAGAGTCACAAGCTTTCACACTGTTTCTGTAGATTTTGTCTCCCTTTCTCAGGAGTCATGAGCTGGGAGCTAGAGAGGAAGTGCAGACTGTCCATCCCTTCTCTGCATTGTGTTCTGTCTCTTACATTTCTCCGCATATTTTCACTTTCCTCACACATTCTTCCTGGCTCCCAGGAATCTATTCTCCCTCTTTTTTTTCTTCTTTTCCAAGTTGTTATTTTCTAGTGTCTGAATTCTGAATCTTGGAGAGCCTGAGTTGTTGCTTAATATGGCCATTTTCCTAGAAGTCTCAACTGTACATTTTAAAGTGTGACATTGTAGTTTTGATTTCATGATTGCTAATTTTTTTGAGTCACTTATACGACTATCTGCAATTTTCACAAATAAAGTTACTCCTTAGGAAAGATGTTGCCAGATTTAGAATCACTGCATCCTGGGAGAGGTTGGCTGGAACAGTGGGCTCTGTACCAGTACCCCTTAGAAGTAGGAAGAACTTCATAACAGTCTTATAAATTTGGATGTGACCTTTTTTTGGGGAAAAATCCCAGGAAAAATTACTATCATAAATGAATTAACCAGGAGAGTTAGGAGATAAGAATGAAGCAGAGTGGGCAGCCAGCTTATCCCAGTTCAGTTAGTACCTCTGCTTTTCTGCACATTATGCTGACCACGAATTCATATCTGAGAACTTTATGCCACTCACTGATTTATGTAAGTGTGCTGGAGTTCTTGGTACAGGCCCTGTACTCTATTGACTTTCAGTTAGAGTCCCTGCTCTGCCACTTACCAACATGAAACCTTGCACAAGTTCCTGAGCCCCTAGGAGCCTTTCTCTCCTGATTGCAAAAGTGGACTTGCTTCCTTGGGCTCCTTTAAGGAGCAATGAATGAGTGAATGTACAATGGGCTGGCACACGGTGAACGGCTGACACCGGGCACATTCCCACGCACTGCTGAGGGCTGTGAAGAGTACCTACAGGCATTTCATTCTTGTGTACACAGCTCTTTTTGCTCTGACCTTTGTAACTTTTGTGGTTATTTCTCCTTAGGATGAACTTCACTCTCACCTCCTTTTAACTAGATTATTTTTGGATCTCAAGTCCCAATGCTGTGAAACCTTTTACTGTAGGAGTAACTTTGGCTCCCAGTGGTGTTTTCCATGCCTAGTGTATTGGTGTTGTGATTTTAATCTACACTGTCACCACTCAGGTTCTGCCTCACATTGATCCTCAGTCATTATGTGGGTGTGCTTTGTCATCGCATCTAAATTTAATCTCTTGAAGGTCAGGGTAAATATTTGTTCTAATAAGTTCTGGAAAAACTCGTATTGTGAATGAGAGGTTTGCATTGACCAAGATGGAATAATTTTTATTGCTTAACAGAGTCTAAGGCTTCAATTTTCTCCATCCCCTTTTATTTCTGAGCTACAACCCTTGCCCTGAATTTTCATATAGTTCTCGTAGAAAGTCTCAGAGTCAATCATTCTTTGTATGCAACTTACTCAGTCACTTATTCCTGTGCATTATAAACACACAAGTAGGAGAAGTGCATTAGTAAAGTATGTCTACCTCCCTCTTCTCAACGCATACATATCTGCACTGGGCGGATGGCTGAGAGCTAGGTTAGGGCTATAATAAAGAAGATGTTATTGGCATGCTAATCTCCCAGCTGTCTCCTCTTACATGCAGCTGTGCTTTTGGGGGACAGTAACCCTCAGTCTGGAACTCTTCCTGGCTGGTTGTGGGTGAATCCACAGGCTGCTGGTGGTCACCCACCTCACTGCTCCCAAGTCTCCAGTCTGACGCAAAGGCTTTGCCTCACTGCGCTTTGGTCATTTTGCTTAAGAGTCTCTTCCCACCCCAATAGTAGCCCCAAAGCAGTTGGCTTCAGTTCCCATGGAGCTGGGCTGGGGACCTTACTGTAACACATTACTATGCAGTGATCTGTACTTTCCTCACTGAAACAAAGCAAACAGCTTTCAAACTTCCTGTTCTTTGATTTTTCTCTCCTCTGAGAACGCAGTCTCTATAAAGTCAATTTTCAAAAGTCTTAACCTCGTGCTTTGGAGCTTAATCTTTGACACCGCCCTCCCCCCTCCCCTTTCAGGAGCCTGACACTGGTTACGCAAGGCGCCCTCTAGAGGCCCTCTGTGGCCTCCCAGTTAAATGCGGGAGGTTCTTTACTCAAGGGGAGGTTCCTAAATGCAAGAATCCAATCTGCATGGATGGCGATGAAATGGATTAGGGAAATGAATGAGAGGATACTTTAGGGTCACTGTTTCTCTTAAGTGAAAAATCTCACTTAGATCGGCTACTCCAATTTCTCTGTACATTTTCATGTGAAGTTGGAATGACCTGTCTTGCAACTTTTGAGAACTGAAAATACCTTTTAGTGTTGATTCCTCGCTGTTTTGAATCTCTCCATAAGTTTGTCAAACCCTAAAAGGCTTGCTTTTCTTTTTGTCCCTTAAAGGCTTTCTTGGTTAGATTTCTTACTTTACAATATCTCACTTGATTTAGAATATGGAAAAAAAACCCAGGATGAATTTACACCCCCACACGCCCCCCACACACATACACACAGGCACACACATGCGCATACACACACGCACACACTCTCCCATGAGGGCTTACTGTAAACTCATGTGTCACCAGTAGATACTTTTTTTTTTTTTTTTTTGGTATCGAACTCACGACTGCCTGCTTGCAAGGCAGGTGCTTATGCTGCCGAGCTAAATCCCC